TTATGCATCGCAAACTGCAAGCATCGAGCGAGGTGGACATCCCGACATGGAATTTCTTCACAATGCGGAGCTGTCGGCAATTTTGCCAAGCCTCTGCTCCAATGAGCCTGATGCCCTCTACACTGACGTGTCGCAGACGTGGAACCCCTAGCTCCTCGTCAAAAGCGTCCGAATCGGGTGCTTCCGCGGGGAGCAGCTCTGCCCACAGGGGTTTTTTAAACAAAGCATTGTGATCTGCCTGCACCCACTGTTCAATGTCACCCATCCAGGGGGCAAATCGTTGAGCACCCTCTTCTTTGGGTTGGTATCCGCAGCCCCCCTTCACTTCCGCGGGCGTGAAGCTCTGCCGCTCCATGACTACAACCAGGTCAGGCAGGATCTGCACTGGTAGATGGACAAAGAGGTCATTGGTGGGCAGCGTCTGCTCTCCATGCTCCATTTCCCTGACAAAGAACATGATGACAGTGCGCACAAAGGTGAGGGCATCGGCGTCTTTTTCCTTTGTTGTCTGTGGTTTCCCTTCCACAGCTTGGGCTGTTCCCTCGTGTCTGTGTTGACTATCAAAGAAACAGCACCTTGCGATGAAAGCAAGAAGCCCATACTGCCAGAAGCGGGGGCTTGCAAAGGGCAAGTTGTTCGTGAGTGATGAAGGGGCATGCTGGGTGCCTACTCTTCACAAAGGCGAAGAGGTTGGACAGGGGAGCAGCAAAGGCTTCACTTACACGGAGGAGATCTCCTATATAGGCTTGGTTGATTTCATCTGGAATGTCTACAAAGGAGGAGCCGTGGAGTGCTTGTTCTGTCACCCTCCTCCAGAGGAATGTACGGACGAGGCGATTAATTTGCTTGTTGGAAATAGCAAGTCTCGCCATCGGCCATTCTCCATGGCAAGTCACTGTAGATCTGTGATGGGGGGAGCGGCACACTTTGCCCGTCAGCTTCTCTGGCCGTTCGAGCCGCATTTTGATGGTCGTACACACCAATAAACCCCGAGCGCTGCCTGAAGGTGCATTTTGTGGAGCAGGCATTGAACAGCTCTGTTTCCCAAGTGACTTCACAATATCGGGCCGAGGGCCTGTGAAAACTGCAAACGACTTA